CAAAACCTGATGACCCCAAGTTTGCGAAATCGGAATAGGATAATTCTTTGCTTATGTCATGGCTGATGTGTTTGATGCAGCCTCATATGGCCCGTAATTACATGTTCCTCTCCAATGCGAAGGAAATTTGCGAAATCGGAATAGGATAATTCTTTGCTTATGTCTTTCTCCTCTCTTCTTCCCTTCTCTTCTCTTCATCTCTGTTTTCTTCTTCATTTTCTGACTTCTCCTTTTTAAATAGGTATGAACCTCATTGGTTTCAGACAACTTGGTATCAGAGCAGGCCTAAGACTGATTAGGGCTCTCATGTAAGTGTAGTCCAGCCGACTACATGAGAGCATTTCTAGGGCTGGAAGTTTCAGCTTAATTCGCCTAGTTCTTGGAGGTCATTGGTGATTGAAGAAGGTGCCCAAGGTTCAGAAAACTTGGAGAGCTGCCCGGTGACTAGGAAGAATCAGAGAAAACAGGTTGGTTTCTAATTTAGGGCTTAAATTAGAGATTGGGAGTGGTGCTCAGTACTTTCTGGGTTCTTTTTTCATTCCTTTTGGATTGATAGAAGTCCGAAGTTTTTTGGAATCCTCTGGGAGGATCGGCTGTCTTATTTCTTCTCTTGGACTGTTTTTTGGGTTTCTTTGTGGACTGTGCTTCTGGGTTGAGTTGTTGACTGTTCACTTCAGCCACCCACCTTGTATTCGTAGAAAAGCCTCTAATTTTTTTTTATTTTTTCTTCTGGGTGCTGTTGGACAGTACTTGAAGTAATTTTTTTTTATTGAAAAGGGAGTTGGACAGTGCTGTACCTTCCATTCTATGAATATCTATTGTTCATTACAACATGGAAATGACCAGAAATGAGAACAAACCATATGGAGGACTTGTAGGAGCTAGAAATTCTATTGATAGCAGTTCGTTTCAGATTACTACAGTCAAATTAGATGGAACAAACTATTTGGAATGGGCCCAATCAGTTGTGATGGCCATTGGGGGAAGGAGAAAGTTGGGGTATGTGATGGGAGACACAGAAACCAGCTCAGGAGGATCCTTCCCTTGCTAAACGGGTCCAAGAAAATTATCTGGCTATGACTTGGTTATGCAATTCCATGCAGCCTCATATCAGTAGAAACTATCTTTGAGCAAAGACAACTAAGAAGATTTGGGACAATATATGAAAGAAACCTATTCTCAGCCCCTTAATGTTGCTAGAACCTATGAACTGAAAATTGAGGTGAATCTTAAACAGGAGGAGAAACTTGTGTCAGTTTATTTCTCCACCTTGAAATCATTGTGGCATGAGATTGATCATCTTGAGACTATTGAGTGGGAGAGCTAGAATGATGCTGCCACATGCAAGAAATTAGTTGAGAAAAATAGAAAGTGTGAATTCCTAGCTGTGCTAAACTCTGATTATGACATTGTAAGACAACAACTTCTCACTAGAGATGGTGTCTGTTTATCTCAAGCCTACTCTTTGGTACATATTGAGGAAAGTAGGAGAAAAGTTATGTTACGAATTCCATTTATGGAATCAACTTTAGCAGCCATAAAACCGAAAACTGGAGGTGATAAGGAGAAGGAAGTAAAGAAGGAAGGAAAGAGGGGGATGTGTTTTGTGAATATTATAAGAAGCCAAAACTCGGCTAATTCCAGAAAGACTTAGGAATAAGAAAGGAAATGCAAATGCAGTTGTAACCACAGGAACTTCATCCACACCCAATACTAGATCCAGTTCTCTTGATGCATTGGTTGTAGTTATGGATGCTTTATCTCAGCTGGAGAATGAAGTTGACATCTCTAGATAGTCTCATTCAACTCCTCCCACTTCTGCTTTTGCTCAATCAGGTACAAGGGCCACTTCTTATCATGCCTCAACCCTAGGTAACACTAGCCATTTTTGGATTGTAGATTCAGGAGCATCTGATCATATGACCAGTTTGTCTTCCTTATTTCACACTTATTGCTTGTCCTTTGGCAGAGGCAAAGTGTCTATTGCTGATGGCTCTCTTGTCCCTATTTCAGGCAAGGGAGACATCAAAGTCTCTGATGCTATTTCCTTATCCTCGGTTCTGCATGTTCCTAAACTAAATACTAATTTACTTTCAATCAGTAGTATCACAAAACACCAGAACTGTTCAGTGACCTTTTTCCTTGATCATTGTGTTTTACAGGATCTGGCAATGAGGAAAGTGATTGGAATTGGCTGTGAGATGAATAAGATCTACTTGCTTGAACATCCAATTGGAAGAGTAAAGAAGCTGGGAAGACTTTTGTGTCATAGTCTGTGAGTCAGATTATGCTTTGGCATAATCGATTGGGTCATTTTCTTTTGGGTCTTTAATTCCAAGTGTCCATTTTGAAGTGTGAGAGCTTTGAGTTGGCAAAGCATTATAGATCAACTTATTCACAAAGTAATAAAAGAAGTGCTTTTCCTTTTGAAATTGTGCATATCGACGTTTGGGGGCCCTATCATATTCCTGCTATGAGAGGGTACAAATACTTTCTATTATTTGTTGATGACTACTATCGGTTTTCATGTGTTTACCTCATGCACTCTCGAGATGAGGTTCCCACTTTGACCCATGTTTTTCATCAAATGATCATGACTCATTTTGGGATTAAAATAAAAATCTCAGATCTGATAATGCCAAAGAATATTTTGCAAAACCCTTAGCTTCTTATCTCCTTGAACATGGAGTTATTCATCAAAGCACTTGTCCACATACACCTCAGCAAAATGGGTAGCTGAGAGGAAAAACAGGAACATCCTTGAAGTTGCAAGAAGCATCATGTTGAACTCTAATGTTCCTATACATTTCTAGGGGGATGCCATTCTTACTATTGTTTATCTCATTAACAGGATTCCTTCATGGGTCTTGGACATGAAAGCTCCTTTTAACTTGTTGTATCCTAATAAGGAGCAGTTTTCTATTCTTCCCAAAACTTTTGGTTACACCTGTTTTGTCCAAATCCTTGGGTTTACTACCCATTCAAAATTTGACCCTAAGACTGCCAAATGTATCTTCCTTGGCTATGCACAAAATATAAAGGGGTATTGCTGTTATGACCCTATCTCAAGAACCGGGTTTGTATCTATGGATGCCACCTTCTTTGAAGATGCCCCCTATTACCCTAGAGTTCCACCTCAGGGGGAGAGTGGTGAGCAGGGGACTTTTGCTCAAGATGTTCCTTTGCCCATTCCTATGAGTGAAGGGAAGTGTAATGAGGGGAGTTGTTAAAAGTGTAAAGAATTGAGGGTGTTTTATAGAAGATGGTGGAGGCAAGTTGGTTCCAGTAATGATCAGTCTAGGCCAATTCCTGTCTCTTCTGCGGCACCAGATTTACTATTGAGCCTCAGCCATCCTCAAATGACCTTGACCTCTCAATTGCAATACACAAGGGGAAGCGTCAGTGTACCTCATCCACTGCCCATTGTGTCTCCCATTTCCTTTCTTATGACCACCTTTCATCATCGTATAAGTCTTTTTTAGCCTCCATTGCTGCCATTCATATTCCTAGAACAATGCAAGAAGCCCTAATTGTCCCTAAGTGGAAGGAAGGAATGAAGGTTGAGATGGATGCCCTTAGAGGGAAGAAACTTGTTGGGTGTAGGTGGATATTCACAGTGGAGTATAATGCCGATGGTATAGTTGAAAGATAAAACTAGACTGGTTGCTAAGGGATACACTCAAACTTATGGTATTGTGAGGATTTTAGCCTACTTGAAAAGGTGTCCAGGCCGAGGTATACTTTTTAAAAATAATGGCCATATGAAAATAGAAGTATACACTGATGCAGATTGGGTAGGTTGTATTGATGATAGGAGATCTACTTCAGGGTATTGTGCCTTTGTTGGAGGAAATCTAGTCTCTTGGAGGAGCAAGAAACAAAATGTTGTTGCTCGCTCTAATGTTGAAGCCGAATACAGGTCTATGGCTAATGGTGTTGCTGAAATATTATGGCTGAAATCTCTCCTTACAGAATTTGGAATTGAATTTGAAAGACCCTTGATGCTGTATTGTGATAACTAGTCGGCCATTAACATTGCTTACAACCCAATACAGCATGATAGAACCAAACGCATTGAAGTTGACAGACATTTCATCCGAGAGAAAGTTGCCTCTCAAGAAGTATGCCTTCCTTATGTTGCCACTAATATGCAGCTTCTTGATGTCTTCACCAAGGCAGTCAACAGAATCAAGCTTGAGACAGATTTAAGCAGGTTGGGAATGATAAATATGTTTTCCCAACTTGAGGGGGAGTGTAGAGAAAATGATTGACCAGCTTGTGGTCCCATCTCTTCATATGTTTCCTTTGATTATATTGCTGTTAGAATGCTCTTTTCTGTTGTTTCTAGTGACAAGGGTGTTCCTTTCATTGTACCTCTTTTAAGCCTAATATAAATAGCACTTGGGGCGGCAGACTAAAAGATTCTGAACCCTTTTCTTCTATTCTTTCTTTCTCCTCTCTTCTTCCCTTCTCTTCTCTTCTCTTAATCTCTGTTTTCTTCTTCATTTCTGACTTCTCGTTGCTAAATAGGTCTGAACCTCATTGGCTTCAGACAACTAACCAGTTGAAAAAAAAAACAGAAAGATTGTAATGAAATGAGTGTCTCCCCACCACCAAAGGATAAATTTTGTCAAAGGGAAACAAATATATACAATTACAAAGATGCCCATTGGCATATACAAGAATGATAAGCTACAGCATGGCCCATATTAAAACAATGGGATACGAGAAAGAAAAGAAAGATCAAGTAAGAGTAACTACTCCTTTACATATCCCTCTTTTTAAAACTGTTATCCCTGAATAGCACATGTTACTTTATGCTCTTTTAATGCTTGACATGTTTTGCTCTTTTGGTTATCAATTAGGGCACTCTATACTTTGCAATGTGGTGTAGTAAAATGAGTTTCAGTTCAAACACTAAAAGATTATCAAAGATGCAAAGTCAATAAGATGTTATATTCAAATACAGCTTTACTAACATTGTATTTTTTTCGAATTAGGTGGCATCATCTCTAAATTCCTCTTATTGTTACATATTACATAGTGGTTCCTCTGTCTTCACCTGGTCTGGAAGCCTAACCACCTCAGAGAACCAAGAGCTTGTTGAGCGACTGCTTGATCACATAAGGGTAAGTTATTTCTGTTTTTTTTTTTTTTTTTTGAAAGCCTGGTGATGACCATTGTTATTTAAAAAGGATTTTGTAATTCCCTTTAATTAGCAAAGGTGAACAATTTAATGTATGGTGAAATGATGATATTCCTTCTAGATTAACCACTTTAAAATCAGATTGTTCTGTACTACAAATATAAGTCAAACTCTCTGTTTTAAGTTTGTATTTTAGTCATCTTTAAATCAAGTTGCAAATATTGTGATGCAGCCACTAGAAATAAACACCTTGCACTCCTCTACACACTATTATTGTACAGCTCGTTAGGGCAGGAGGAACCTGCTAGATACCCATCCTACATGATCTTATCTTGTCCAATGTAAATGAGTTTCAGATAGCATTTTCTAAATATCACAAGGAGAATTTAAAGAAGAAAATATAGGACAAAACAACTCTGCAGAAAATATAGGAGAAAACAATTCTAGGCTGAACATGCAAGAATAATCTGTCAATCCAGCCATTGATCTAAGCTGAATCTTGATATCTTAGAATTCTTGGGAGTAGGAGTCCTGAAAATTTTAGGAAGATAGGATCACGGGAAGGCCTTCATTGACCAGTTCAGCTGCTAGAATCCAGAGACTTATCAGATAGGTTTAATATCAAGGCCTTCGTGTTTTTATATATTTTTAGGCTATGTAAGGGGCTAAAACAATTGTTTCATAGAAGCAATTTTCTGTATATTAAAATTTGAATAAAGCTTCCACTTTCTCCTTTTCCTAGCCAATAGATCCACAAAGGCCTATCTTTTGCTTCCAAACCCTATTTCCTTCCTTTCAGACCAAGTTTTCGGAGATTTCTTCAATATAATTTTCTTCTACCACTCTTCTCTGCTTTATTGTCATAAATATTCTACCATGGCAGTGTTTTAAAAGCACAAGGCGCAATGGTCAATTTGCGCTTCAGGCGCAAGGCACAAGGATATTCCAAAAAATATTCTACCACTCTTCTCTGCTTTATTTTTAAGGAAGGTGCAAAAAATAAAAAAATTCCAAAAAATTCAAAAATGCAAAAAAATAAAAAAATTATTAAACATAATATTAATAAAAATATAAACTTAAATTTTAAAATAAATGTTTTAAAAAACCAATTATCTAAAATTAAAATACATAAATATAACATGTAAAGTATATTCAAATGAGAATTTAAAAATAATGTGATGTAAAACATATTACATTCTTGGTTCTATGAGCCGCCTTTGTGCCACGCTCCTCGAGACAAGCCCAAACAAGTCCACGTTAGGTCTTAAATTCTTAGTTCTCACACAAAAAATAATGATTTTATAGTTTTAATTGCTTTATAAGAAGATATTTTATAAGGTTGAATGAATGAACAACATTACCAAATAGGGGTTCTCGAAACTTCGGTGAGTGAACGAAGTGAGTGAACAAATTTTCAAAAGGCGTCAAATTTTGAAAATTTGGCACAAAAAAGCAAAAAGCGGCAAATTTATAAAAAGGCGCATGCCTGGGCTGAGGTGCAAGGCGCACTAGGCACATGCCTAGGTGCACTAGGTGTGCAACTTTTGGAAGGGTTGAGCCTAGGACCTGGGCGAGGCACCTACCCTAAAATGCACCTTGCTTGTGTGCCTAGGTGTGCCTTTGAAATCACTGTACCATGGTATATGGCAATTTGAGAATTCTACCTAAATTACATGAACAATGCTAGCAAGCAATGCTAGTGTGCATCTCCATCAGCGCTACTACTGACATGGTGGGACCCTTGAAAAGTCATGCCAAATATTTTTCTTTTAGTATGTCTTCTCATTAGTCCTATCATTTCTGTAGTGGCTCTAAAGACAGATGATGCACCCTGGATTTCATGATAGCATTTTTCTTGTTATCTTAGATGAATGGTAATTTTTTTTTTTATTAATAACTCTGAAAAGATTTCATTAATTAGAAAACTAAGATGAATGGTAAATGATAAGTTACTATTTGGCATTTAGCATTTTATGCACTAACACTATTTTTTTTTTTTCATTAGATGCTTCATTGTGCCAGTTGATGTTGTATCATAATTTAAGACAGATTCTCATGGATGATGGTGATAAACAAAGTTCAAGGTGGGATTTACTATAATGGGACTTGGTGGTAAAGTCCCCTATGGTGTTGTGGTTTGTGGCAAGTCATTTCTCATATGGTTGGGAAGAAACTAGGAGGGATCTTGAATGTATAGAAATGCTCTTGGAGAGATTAAAAGGTTAATGAAGGAGCTGAGGAAAAGTATCAAATAGGTACCTAAATCTGCTAACAGCCTAGCAGACAAGTGGTGTCAAAAAATCAAATCTTTTGGTGTATAGTACCCCAAGGAAGAATATTTAATTGAGGAGCAAAGTGGCGTTTAGCTGAGGCTAGCTACCTATAAAAACCAGCATCATACAGATAAATGTAATTTCTTACCCCCAGTTAATAAAATTCTAAACAATTACTGATCAAAAGTAAAAATAAAAAAATACTTTTCTATCCTGTATTAGACACTTATAAACCAGTCCAAACCATGTATATATTTTTCTCATTAATCCTTGGGAAGTGTAATATCATTGAGGGGTGCCATTGCTTAGAACTTTAAGTTATGCATCTTAAGACTGACATGTTTATATTTTAAATTGTTTAACAAATGTAACTATCAAGGTTGATTTCTGTGTGCCCTTAGGGTGGGAAAAACTGAAAATAAACGAATCATTGGGAATCAATGTGTGTGTGTGTGTGTGTGTGTGTTGTGCACTTGTGTATGCTCATAAACTTGTCCGTGCTATAATTTTCATTGACAACCCTGGCTTCAAACAAATTTTCTTCTTTTGTTAATTATTTCTTCATGTTCATGTATCCATGTAATTTGCTTGTTTTTTTCAGCCAAATGTGCAGTCAAAACCACAAAAGGAAGGCACAGAAAGTGAACAATTTTGGGATTTGCTTGGAGGTAAATCTGAATACCCTGATCAAAAAATCGTAAGAGCAGAAGAAAGTGATCCTCACCTATTTTCATGCACTTTCTCAAAAGGTAGACAGAACAGTATCTCTTGATTATAAAATTATTTCCTATTTATTTCCATTCCGTTTCTTTTATACATTTGATGTTCCATTCCATGTTTGTCTTTGATACATTTGGTGTTCGACTGAATCAATCACTACTGGAATGCATTCTGACCTGCAGGCAACCTTAAGGTAACTTCATGTCCGTAGCTTTTTGCATTTCCCCTTGTAGTCCAGTCAAATGCTCCATGCATTGTAGAAATACCAGTCTCAGTTATAGTGTTGGCAATTGGTAGACATGCCAAAATCATCAAAGATTGGCATTCCTTATTGCTATTCAACAATGTACAAATAATTCCTTGATGTTGACTAAGTRATTGTTGAATCCTTGCCTTGGACTAAAGAGGATTTCTATTTCTGTGATATCAGTTATCAGAAATCAATCATGAACTTGCTGGGCCATTCCTTTTTCAATATACTTAATAGGGGACTTCACTACTAAGTCCATTCTTATGAAATCTCGAATCAGATCATTTGCCTATTTCTACAAGGGAATCATGAATTTCATCTATGGAAGAACCATTTCTTTCTTGATCCCAATTCAGTACTAAACAAGTCAACTACTTGAATACTTTGTGTGAGAACTTCCTCAAATTTACATGGAGATTTTGGTTAAAATTAAATTCACTATCTAATCATTATGCAAATTCTTTGGGGTTAGTCTTGCTAATCCTGTTTCTCTCTTCATCTCTATCAGTGGTCATATCCTTTCTAGATCAGCATGGAACTCTTTTAATGTTAAGGGGAAAAAAGAACAAAGAATATTAAAGCATGAAGTTTTATTCCAAGATCATATAGCAACTCAAAACTACCACTTGAGCCATTAGATTATCATAAATTAAACATTCATATACAAATGCACTATTGAAGGGATAATGGACAAAAATCCAGATAGTTTTCTTTCATACATGCATGTAGCTGGCAAGTATATATATCTGAATGCATCATATCAAAGTTGTTTTGCATGCTGTCTAATGCAAAAGAAAGGAGTTTTTTATAGTTGCTTTTCACATTTTCATGCATGCATATGGATTTAAATAGGTTCTATGACCCTTTATCTATTATTTGAATAAATTTGGTTGTTTGGTATAGTAATAGTACTTCAGATTAGGCATTCGTGTTATATTCCTTTTATAAGAGTTCTTTAACACATCTGTCAACATTGCATGTACTAGACTCTCACTACATGCTTCTCCATGCATTCACCTATATACTCAGATACAATGTGAAACTATTTAAAGTTAAATTTTATGGAAGAAAAACATCTCATGATGCATGATTAGTCCCCTTGAATTTTGGCAAGTCATAGTCATGAAAATTTTACAGTATAATATTTGTTATGCATGTTAAAATTTCAAAATATAAGTCAAGGTTTCATCACCTTGCAGGTGACAGAGATATTCAACTTCTCCCAAGACGATTTGATGACAGAAGATATATTTATTCTGGATTGTCACTCGGACATTTTTGTTTGGATTGGGCAGCAAGTGGAACCAAAGAATAGAATGCATGCTTTGACCATTGCAGAGGTACTTTTTATTAGACTCTGTACAGAAGTAAGAAGGTTGTAGAAACTTAAGTTGTGAGGTCTGATATGCTGGTAAAATAAATAGTACAGTAACATATTTGAGACTTCTAGAACCTTGACAGTGCTGAAAGTTGGTTTTTCAGCCTAGTCCTATGGTTCGACCTATGTGACCTACTTATTGGACCATGGTTAGAATTTACCAGGCTAAATTTATTGAAGTTTCTATTAACTACAACTTCAGAATGCATTGAGCACATGGAAAGGTTTATGTAATGTAGATATTTCTTGGATGTGCTTCTAACTCTTTTTCTTACTTTGTACAGAAATTTCTTGAACATGATTTTCTTCTAGAAAATTTATCTCATGAAACTCCAATCTTTATTATAACGGAAGGAAGTGAACCACCCTTCTTTACACGTTTTTTCTCATGGGACTCTTCGAAATCTGCAGTAAGCTATCATATATTCATGGAAAACTCTGTAACTGGTTCTTATACATCTTGAACCTTGAACAATTTATTAATACTTTCTGTGGGTACAGATGCATGGAAACTCGTTCCAGAGGAAACTTGCAATAGTGAAGAATGGACTCACTCCGACCCTTGATGTAAGAGCATATAACTATTACCATGTTGAGTGGATTGGCTCCATCTAAAATTTGATCACTGTTACCCTCATTTGTTTCATTGAAGAATATCCCTACATTCTTGATTTTTTCAGTCTCACATTTTATTTCATTTTTCCATATTTAAATTAACCCCAGCTTGTGTAATGTGTATATATACATACATACATACATACATATATATATATATATATCTATATATCTATATATATATATAAATATATATATATGCCCTTTTTGTGCATACAATAGATTGTCTTGATCTATTATTTGAGTGCGGTCCCATGTTCTTTTTAAACTCGCTTATTGTTGTTTTACTATTCTGTTATTTGTTTTTCTTTATCTTATACGCAGCAGGGGTATAACTAACAGTCATTGTAGCTTATTTTTAATTGTTCATATAAATAGTAATGAGTGGGGTGGCAGAACCATTACAATCTGCTCCCCTTTTTCCCCTTTTTCTTTGCTCTTGCCTAAACCCAATTTGCTATCAGCTATTTCAGCCAAGTTGGTATCAAATCCAGGTTTAGGGATGAATGGTGCTCTGATGTGGGCTTGATCCAGCTGGTCACATGAGATATTAAGTCTGGAGTTTCCAGTTTTTATGCCGTGATTCTTGGAGGTTATTGGAGATTGTAACTGCTGCCCAGAGTCTCAGCTTTGGAGATTGCCCAGTCACCAGGAAGAGCCAAAGAAATCAGATGGGATTTAAGTTTGGTAATTAAACCTTGGATTGGAAGTTGCGCTCAGGGTTCTCTGAGCAGTTTTTTCCTTCTCTTAGAGATCAACAGCAAGCAAGAATATTTTGGAAGCCTTTGGAGGTAGTGGTTCACTTTTCTCTGCTTTCTCCGGGGCTGTCCTACGGTTTTCTCCTGGAATTGACCAGTACTTGTTAGTCGGATGAGTTCTTTCTTGGATAAACCTTTTCTTTGGGATTCTAAGAGAGTTGTGGACTGTTACATCTCTGTTAGTTGGTGTACTACTCCTGGGAGGATTTTTCTACTTGAAGAAGAAGAGAATTGGACTCTTTTTAAAGTTTGACTATTGTGTACAACATGGAAACTACTAGGAATGAATCTTTCTCATGGAGAAGGCCTTTTGCGGGGCTGTTATTGTGGCAGATAGTAAGTGGTAACTCTTTTCAGATTACTAGTCTATTTTTTTTTTAAAGAAGGTAAGATATTACTACAATCAAGTTTGATGGATCAGACTATTCAGAGTGGGCTAAGTCGGCCATGATGGCCATTGGAAGAAGAGGAAAATTAGGGTGTTTGATTGGTGACACTAAGAAAGCGGCACAAGAAGATCCCTCCCATGCCAAATGGGTTCAAGAAAATTACTTAGTGATGACTTGGTTGTGTAATTCCATGCATTCACATATTAGTAGGAATAACTTCTAAGTGAAGACAGCTAAGGATATTTGGGATAATATGAAAGAAACTTATTTTCATCCACTTGATGTTGCTAGGGCCTATGAGTTGAGGAGTGCAGTGAATAATCTTAGTTGGGACAAGGTTTAAAGTATCGATGCACCCGGATATGGCACAAGGGGTGTGTCAGTACTTTGAACCATGCACCCACCCTTTTTTTTAGTTTTCGTTTTTTTCGAAAATAGGTCAGGAAGTAGGTTTTAGGCCTATCTACACCCTGAAATAAGTCAAAAGCCCGAAACACCTATATTTTGTGTATTGGTGATCCACCGGTACAATACATATCAGCCAATACAGGCTAATACATGACAAAATTTTGARCCTTGAGTAGGGGGAGAAACCAATTTTGATCTATTACTCTACCTTGAAATCTTTATTGTATGAGATTGACCATTTATAGGAAGTTGGTCAAGGAAACACAATTTTTGAATTCCTTGCTGGGTTAAACTCTGATTATGACATTGTGAGACACAACTTCTTACTAAGGACAATGTCACTTTGTCCCAAGCTTATTCTTTAGTACATAGTTAAGAGAGTGGGAAGTAATTTATGTCACAAACTTCATTAGAATCAACCCTATCAATTATGAAGCAGAAACAAGGTGATGATAAGGAGAAAGAAGTGAAGAAGATAAAAGGTAGGTGTTCTGTGATTATGGCAAGAAGCTAAGAGGCCCAATACACACTAGAGACACCCACTAGAAGCTCCATTCCAAGCTTGTGCTTGCAAGGCTCAAGCCAACTGTTTTTCTAAGGTGATGAATGGCAAACAAACTTCTCCTGAGGAAACTCTTTCCCACATAAAATGTCTATCAATCTCAATGTGCTTAGTTCTGTCATGTTGAACAGGATTATGTGCAATATTGTGCAAAATTGATAGGTGCTTGGTTGTCATAGTAGAGCATCATTGGCTTCTCATAGTCAACCCCCAATTTTTCTAAAAGTGATCATAGCCATAGTAATTCTGACACACCATGTGCCATTGCCCTCTATTTTACTTCAACAGAGGATCTAGCAACTACTGATTGTTTCTTACTCCATGAAACAATGTTCCCTACCACCAAAGCACAATAACCCGAGGTGGATCTCCTATCATCAATACATCCTACCCAATCAGCACCAGTGTATGCTTCCAGCTTCATGTGTCCATGTTTGGAAAATAGAATACGTTTTAAGTAACACAGAACTCTTTCTGCAGCAGCTAAATGAATATCTCTGGGAGAATGCATAAATTGACTAATAACACTCACTGCATAGGAAATGTCTGGCCGACTCATGTAGAGATATAACAATTTTCCAAGCAGTCTCTGAAACACTCCTCTATTAGATAAAAGTTCACCATCTGTAGCAGAAAGCTTATGATTGGGATCAATAGGAGTGGAGGCTGGTTTAGCACCAAGTCTCACCATCTGAGAAATGAAGATACCATCCTTAGATCTAGCCACTTCAATGCCCAAAATATATCGGAGATCTCCTAAATCCTTGATTTCAAATTTAGAGTTAAGAAACCTTTTGAGTTTACTGACCTCCTAGGTGTCATTACTCGTGACCATAGTATCATCAAGGTACCCAGATGCTTGAAAACTAGGGTTTCACTGAACCTAGCTGTCGGGGAGGAAGAGAGAAGATGCAACCGCTCCTACCAGAGCTTCCCAATCTCTTCCAAAACTGAACCACCCTCTTTTAGAAGTTAAAAGGCACCTCCCAAGCATAGAGCACCACACTCAAAGCTTCACTTTTACTTGTAACTTTGAAAATCTCTAATCGGCTAGGGTTTTGGGCAGAAACAGTACAACATCACTTTGTGGCAGTTTCTGACCAGAATTCAACTCCAAACCCTTTACCAACTAGGAAAAAGGTCCTCTGAACTATAGAGAACCTATCCCTTTGTAATCATTCATGGAAAGTGGGAGATGAGAGAGAGAGAAAGAGAAGGAAAGGGAGATACGATTGAGAGAAAAAGAGAAACAATCTCTGGCTGCCGCCAGTTCACTATTTATATTAATTTAATAAAAAAGAATAGAAATTACAAGTATGCCCCTGGCAGCACACCCTAGAAACAAACTAATAAGGAAAAAAGGAAAAATAACTAATTGACAGTATCTTAAGAGGACAACCTACTAACAACAACTATAAAGTAACAATTAAATAAGCCTTACAACACTCCCCCTCAAGTTGTGTTGAATATGTCTATCATGCTCAACTTGTCACATAATTCGTTGTACCGCGAGTATGGAAGCCCTTTTGTGAGGACATCAGCAAGTTGTTCCTTGGAGTTAACATAAGGGATGCAAATTTATCTTTTTTCCAATTTTTCCCTTATGAAGTGTTTGTCCACCTCAATGTGCTTGGTCCTCTCATGTAGGACAGGGTTGCTGGCGATGTTTATTGCTGCCTTGTTGTCACAGTAAAGAGACATAGGATTATGAACAAAAACTCCAAGCTCCCCTAGAAGATTCTTTAGCCAAAGGACTTTAGCCACCTCATGTGCCATAGCTCTATATTCGGCTTCAGTGCTTGACCTTGCTACCACACTTTGTTTCTTGCTTTTCCAGGTCACTAGGTTTCCTCCCACAAATGTGCAATACCCACTCGTGGACTTTCTGTCATCCACAGCACCTGCTCAATCAGCATCTGTAAAGACTTCCACCTTTAGATGATTATGTTTACAGAATAGTAGACCTGTTACGAGATATTTTTTCAAGTATCTAAGAACTCTCTCTACTGCCTCCATGTGTGGTTTCTTAGGAGAGTGCATGAATTGGCTTAGAACCCCAACTGAATAGGCAATGTCTGGACGGGTCATGGACAAATAAATCAGCTTTCCCACTAACTTTTGGAACTATTTCACATCTTTCAGAGGTTCACCATCACAGTCACCCAATTTGTGGTCAACATCCATGGGAGTATCTGCTGGCCTTGCACCTAATTTTCCTATGTCCTGTAATAGATCAAGGGTGTATTTCCTTTGAGAGATAAAGATACCCTTTTCTGAGCGGGCGACTTCAATCCCAAGGAAATACTTCAGGGGACCTAGATCTTTCACTTCAAATTTAGATGCAAGGAATTGTTTCAATTTTTGTATTTCTGAACTCCAATTTCCTGTAATGATGATATCATCCACATACACTATCATTACAACAACCTGTTCCTGACATTGTTTGAAGCCCATCTGCTGAACTGCCATGTGAAACTTACTGAACCAAGCTCTGGGAGATTGTTTTAAGCCATAAAGAGACTTTCGCAGCTTGCACACCTTATTTTCACTTCCCTTGGCACAGAATCCAGGGGGTTGAACCATGAATACTTCCTCCTCTAAGTCACCATTCAGAAAAGCATTCTTTATGTCCAGTTGATGCAATTCCCTGTCAAGATTAGCAGCTAATGACAGGAGAACCCTAATTGAGTTCATCTTAGCTACTAGAGCAAAAGTCTCATCATAATCAACCCCATATACTTGTGTGTACCCTTTGGCTACTAATCTTGCTTTGTACCTTTCAACTGTTCCGTTTGCCTTGTGYTTAACCGTRAACACCCATTTACACCCCACGGG